TACATCAACCTCTAGAAGTCCATGCAAATGTCAACTAAAATCCGATGCGTGTTTATCCGTAATACCCATTATTCATAACTCAGCACTTGTCAAAGCTCAAATCCTACCAAATTCTGAAGAGGACAAACTCCTAGAACAGCTCCAGTTCCGTAAACTACACAAAAGTCTTGGTTACGTATAAACTATTTTTTGCAAAATAGCTACTGTATAAAATATAAGAACACGCACTATTAAGTGATGGTGACTTACCAACATAATTTAACTATCAATCATTGCCTCGTAGGTGTTTATTTTAACCCAAATATGAGTGAAAGATGAGTGTAGACTGGTGTGAAATAATCATTTTAGTTTTGGTACTGACTAAAATCAGCTTTTTCATTAGCCAGGAACATTTATTTAAAGCCCAATAATCAGGAACAGCTGGGTCCAGTTTCAAACCATCAAAAAGCTACTGACTTTTCTTAGGCTGGAACCGACGACCTTTTGATTGTTTAGGTGAGCACTATAACCACTCGGCTACCAATTCCTCTGAATCCTTTTCTTATATAAAGCATTGTTGTAAGCACCATTGCAGGTTAGTCTGCGAGAGCAACACACTCCCGCCTTATCCTAAACAAACATTGATCAGAGCAGACTGGCCACACAGGTGACCAGAGTGACCGTCTACCCGCCATAATCAATTATCATCCCCTGAGTACATCACTACCCTGCTTGCCCATCTACCCTCCAAAATTGTCGTATTGAAATCCAATAGGACAGCTGTAAAGGCCATAAATTCTTATATATCCGTGACAAATAATGTTATCAGTTGCAATAATGTATTAGTTTATTGAAAATTAACTTTTTAGTTTATCTTAATCACCCATTATATAGAAACATAGCATTATTATGTAAGTTAATTTAAGTACTTGAATGCGTGTTCCATCCTACACAATATTATGAGATGGAAAAATTCTTAAGCACACTCAAAGCACTGATTATTAACCCATCTGTTTAATGTCTGTGAAAAATTAAGACAATACTAACAGATTAAATAAAAAAAAAAACATAAAATATAAAGTATTGTTTTTCTAAGATAATATTAGCTATAATCGAAAGTCCTATACTGCAAAACCATCCACCCAATTGTCATAAAACTGTAAAATTGTTATTTGTCCAGTAGCATTGATATCTATGGCCAGCTTGCTTTTTTTCATAATGCTCTTCGTAAGGCTTTCCAAACTTTATAATACTCTTTCATAAATCGCATGCCTATGATTGTTAGGTTTGCCTAAGATTGTGTTTCTGTTATTCTATCCTCTACTCCCTATTCTCCCCCCCCCCCAGCTTTAAAAGGTACCTCGTAAAGCTTATGGTCATACTTAACAGATTAGTTTTCACTAGAGTTAAGTTACAATTTAAGGGTTCACTGGGTTTAAATTTTCAAAATGCTCTTCAGCATACGTCACATCGGTGATACAAATAATAAGGAATTTTTTTTTTATTCTGCGGTGAGTTGAAAATTTTAGTATAAGGATTCAATATACTATAGAATCAAATTAAAAACAACAATTGGGAATACTAGCTAATTTATAGTAACTTCAGATTGAATTGAATTATTTAGTGAAATAGATCTTAAAATTGACCCCAAAAACATAAGCAAATAGAAACGACAGAACATATTTGACTCACTTGCAAACTGACAACAAATCATGAATAGTCTTAGTAAACATTATTTAAAAAATAATATCACAAGGGTGTTGCCAATAGTAACTGCTAAAAAACAGATTATAACTAAAACTATTTATATACCCACACTTACTAAGGACAGAAATAGAGATGTTCCTAGTAGAGATTAATACCAATCCGTAGTATGTGATCACGTAATTCTCATTTACATCCGAGAAGTAAGATTACCGTGTTACGACTTATCTAATTAGAACTACGTGAACTCTTGCCTAACATACGATCAAGAGATTCTAGTACGATTCGAAATGTATGTTGAACATTCAAAATCTTGTTATAATTTATTTTATAGTAAAATAATATGAGGTATGTCATTTCTTTCAATATAGGACTGAGTTCCTCTTTCTACTGTGGTAACAAATGTTTTTTTCCTTGGTTTACTAGACTTTAAGTCATTTTTCGGGTAAGAGATAAGTAAGCCTCCGTAGTCCAGGCCTTTAGGTGTTTATGTTTTTCTGACCGCATTGAACTCATATACTGGTTTTTCCGAAGAAAATTTTCCTCGATAATCAAATAAATTTCGCATAGTTCTTATACGATACTGTATATTCTTTTTGCATTCATACCCAGCTGCATGGAATATATTGCAAAAATCCCGTTAATTTAGACGAATAGAAATCTAACAATATTTAACTAATTTGTAACATAAATAATGTTTTTTTTATAGAATAGAATAATTCTTCTCTTGCCTAGTTGGCTTAATAACTAATATATCAAAACAACTGTAACAACTGTTTCCTGTAAAGCATTTTAGGAGACAAACAAAAAATACATTTAGTTTTGTGAATACGCTAGATTCATTAATTATGTAGAACCAATTAAAACCCCTTTGGGAACCATTGGACTCTTTGGGAAGCAAGTTGGTCTAGTTTAGAGGGCAGGACATCAAAGCAAACCATCTCGGGTTCAAATCCCACCAATCACTAGTGGATTTAACAATGTGATAATGCCGTAATCTACGAGGACTAGCCTGAAGTAATGTGTAAAACAGTTCCGGCTAGAACCAAGCTTCCTAGGACGTGAAGGTGGGACGTAAAGCATGGTCAAAAACATAGTTTTAGGATCAAAATGTATTTCAACCTTCACTAATCTCTCTCAGCTTTGTTTGAGTCGTGCTACAGCTGGTTTAAAAAAAGTCGCTTCATGCCTAATAAAATATAATGTTTAACACAACGCGGTTATATCCTCTTAAAAAAAATAGTCTTCATATTTCCTTATATCAATTAGCCCTGAAGATGCAGGTATGCTGTCTATCACTACTTTAGTTGCGACCCTTGAGTGCACCTACAATCAAAGCAATTGCATTTGCATTTGTACTCGAGGGTTAACCCTTGATTGTGTTGTATTGTTGATCCTAGAATGTACTGTCTAGTTTGTAGTGGGAATCGATACTTTAGAATACAAGGGTGCTCTACTAAGGCATTGGTAGGTAGGTAGTAATATTATAAACTAAAAAATAAAAAAAATGTTTTGCAAGGAAATTATTTTCAAGATTTGTTTTCATTTGCTACCTTGATATATTTAAATGATCCTTCTTTGCGGTGTTTAACCTTTTCCAAACACAAAAGTTTACATTCGTTGCATGTTTAACTATTTTCTTCTCAGCTATCTATTAGATGGGTAGTGAATTTATTACAGTGCTCGCCTTACAATCAATTGCTTATACATTTGAAACTGGTCCGGGCTGTCGGTGGCCACCTGAATTTTAATTTATAACAAACAAATTCTGGATATATTGTTTAGTAACAAAGTAACAATTCGTTCTTATCCATTCTAAACATAAATAATTAATTTTTAGGTCAAATACTAAGCGTTGTATATTTCGACCTTTGTATTGATATAACTAACAATTATGTAATGGAAAACTCCTTGAAAAACTATGGTTCCAAAAAATATTTTTGAAGCAATACCTTAACGTTAGTTTAATTTTTTATTCATTCGTACCTTCAGATTCATTTCAAGTAGTTACTTGGTCCTAAGCATCATCGACTGTAAGTCTAAAATTCAGTAATAACAGAATTGTCATTAAACATAGGTACTAAAAGCTATTATATTGATCCACTGGTCTCCAAAGAAATTAAAGATCATTAAGTAGACTTATTTACTGAAACTACCCATATAATTATCCATTAGAGCCCTCACCTAGGGTTTGCAACAAACATGACAGTCTGTTGTATGCATAGTTAAATAAACATGCTGCACAAACAATTCTCTTGACCAATCAAAATATACGTTTTTGTAAACACTGCACAAATAACCTTTAACATAGTCAAATTTCAAAGCACGTCGGCTTCGCCCACTGTAACCACTGCAGGTGCTGCGGACAATCGCAAACATTTACTGTACTCCTTAAACAAGAGACGGACAAAGCCCAGCCCGGGGTGCCTACATGGCGCGCCATCCACTTAATACGAATGTGTTAGTAGCCATTCTCATTCAAATGAACATCCCCACCCCTATAGTACTAATTACAGACATGCCCACTCCCCACAATGCACGACTATTGTGTTGTTTTGGGGGATGTTTCATTTGTGACACGTTCATGGCCTGTCACACAGGGAATGCTTAGCATATGTTCCATTGCGTAATGTTAAGAATGATTGTATCAAATAGCGTGTTTGTCTTTTGAATGACTTATTTGTCATATGTTGTATACCTTTAAAATTTTTTGACAGATGATTGCACACTTTGAAATTCTGGCTTGGTGATATGCTGAATAATTGCTTATGGATTGTAACTTATCACAGTAAGCATTTTATTGCAAGACCTTGGAGGCAAGCGGCCATCTTGGATTTATTTCAAATAGCTGTTGGATAGTTAATAAAATACCAAAATATTTTTTTTCAAATACCAAAGTGATTGGAATTTCAACATCTAGGGCACTGTGGGATTAAATATAATGGTCTTTGTGGGTTTTTAATTGATTTATAAGTAAGAAAGTTACGGCTCCAACGACTCTTAAGATCGCCTTCTTTCTGGGGTATAGAAACGATAAAATCTCTTTGCTAAAAGTACCCATACCAGACATGAATATCTATTACGAAAAAAGTTGTTAGATTTTTGTGCTTTGAGAAATATTTTGAGGAAACGAAACAAAATATTTGAGAAACTAATTTATAGCAGAAACATGGTTTAGCATAATTGGGTTTGAAATTTGTAGATATTTGTTCACTCCTTAAAAAATGGGTAAACTATGTTCTGGGTGAATATGGTTTAATAGTTTAATATATTTCATATCTTAAACTAAACTTCAGAGTGATGAAGTAATTTCTTACCTTAGTTCTCTTGCAATCACAGCTTGAATCATATTAAATCGTTCCTGTAACAAATAAACACACTTTAATTTGTTGTTAATGTCCGCATCATTAGCGTTTGGCATAGAAAGTTGCCCACTTTCAGACTGAAGTTTGTGTTACATTGTACATTGGGTATTTTGGTAGTATTTTGAAGATTTAACCAGTCACTCCGGCATCGAAATCAAATACACTTTCGTATCTCTGTGCTAACATAGAGCCTAAACATAGAGTCATAAGTTGTCAGCTGTTACTTTAATAAAAATACATGAACTTCTAGGTTACAAAAATAAAATAAAAATTACAAAAACAATTTATCGAGCCCTAGCCATTTAGATTTATTGCAGTAGACTATGACAGACTGGATATCTAACTGATAATAAATGTTGTATCACATTTATAAACAAAAATCATTTGTGATTGATACATTATTCCCACTGACTAAAACTAATAAATTTGTACTAAAATTATTATTGTATTGTTTGTAGTTGATTGGTGTTAGATTTGGGTAGAGTTGATGGGAGCAGTTTTGTTTTGTAATCCCACAATTTTTAACATACCAATTGTCAAGCACGAATTATTTAAATAAAATACACGGTTCTTATCGTACATCTGATGCAAAAGAACCAGTTAGGTTCCAATATAGTTCAGCTAGTGTGTTGAGCAAAATAATGAAGTGAATTTCTCACAGTGACAACATTTAAAAATGACTTATTTGACTGAAATTGTGTGGCTGGAATATAAGCCCAGTTACCTATGAACGAATAAAAGAGAAAAAAGTGTCGATTCAGATATATTCAGCGTTTCTTCCGGTTCATTAGATCCAAGGCTTAATCCAATTATTGGTTTGATTGTGTGAAAACGGAGAGCGTTGATGACGTGTGTGTATTTCTACAATCACGGCCACCCTTTGTTAAATTTTCTCCTCATTCATTGGTTTATTTGTTTTAGATTTTATCGCTGATGAAACATTTTAAGCCTCTCGACCGTTAATTCGGGTTTATTTAAGCAAAATAGAATTTGAAACGGTTTTTTTATACCTCATTATTGTAGTCTGTTCTATTATGATCGTTACATCAACAAATTCGTTGGTTCATCATAATTTATAGAAACTAGTGTACATGTTGCTCGAATTCGAGCAATTGTTAAGTATTACAGGATTTGCAGACCAATAAAATCATACTTAGCTATCAACATTTCAACAAAAACACACATACCTTCCCTGTAGCAGCAAACCTAAGTACTCATATTAAAATTAACTTAATGTTATTTAAATAGGAAAAAATGACCATTTTCAGGGAATATCTTTGTATAAATTAAGCCAGGTAAATGGAAATTTTCTTAGTCTGAAGGTTTGCTGCGGATACACAATTTTAATAACAGCAAAGATTGAAGAATCCGAATTATTAGTTATATCCATGAATTTATCCAACAATTATTTCCTGTAAAATATTATTACAGCAGTTCAAAAATATTGAAACAAACTCGATCAACAAATGATGTAACTGAAAGAATTCCATACTAATGACATTAACATATAGTTTGACAGTTCCATTTAATCAATGTTAAATGTATACATTCGGGCATAGACAAAAATGATTCGGGCGAGTGACATATTTTATTAATGTTTATGATCCCTACCGTTCCTGTTCTATTAATCATGCAGTATTTAATATGTTTGAACCAGCTGTGTGGAATTGTGAAATCAAAATTAATTTGACAGTTGGTTCTGCTTGTTTACATTTTTTAATTTTGTGGGTTTGTTCTTTGTTACCATGTATACCATCAATAAATATTTCACTTTTAATTTCTGACAACAGCTGGAGTTCCATAACAAATTTTGTTTCCCATGTTAATCTTATGGATAAATACGAAACTTTAAAAGGGCCCCAGGGCCTCACTCTCTAATTATTTCCTTAAAAAGAAAATTTCCTGCACAACTTCACGTTACGCTCTTTCCAATGACACCAAAAACATGTCAATTGGTTCAGTAGTTTCGGAGGAGTAATTGTCACAAAAAACCTGCTTGCGTATTAAATAAGTATAGATACTACACTAGAAATGTTGACAGTAAGCTTATGTTTTAATTTAGTTCATTAACAATATTGTAGGATAATATATTTATCAAAGAATGGACTATACATGTTCTTCAATGGAGTAAACAATTTCCAAGTGAAGAAATAATCTTAACAAAGAGAATATTGACTAACATAATGTGCTTTCTACTGCGAAAGTTCTTTGAAGAAAACAAGGATTATTATATTGGCTTTCCTTCAATGTTGCTATGATCAATTCAAGTTTTATTTTATTATTATGAATGTTATATGAATATCAACACTTTTTCCTTTGGTATTACAACACGTTTTAGGCAAATGTACTGTATCTTCTTTAAAATATAAATTTACTAAATAATTGGTAATCTCGAGTAAAATTAAAACTAAAACAACTTCTTGATTTGCATTTAAAAAATAAACCATAATCATTATTACATAGTAAATATGCTCAAGCCCAACTCATCGCTTAGAAATATTCTTTATAGATAAATTGTATAAATAAAGTAACAAAAAGTAATCTCTTTCATATACTCTGTATTCAAAATAATTACGATAGTGGAAGCAAACGTTAAATTGAACTCTTAAGTAAAATATGTGCCAAGCAAAATAATAAGCTATGTCAAATAAATATAGGATCCTTTTAATAAAATTTTTTTATTGATCAAACAACGTCAAATTATAAATTCGTATAGACAAGTCAGAGGTACAGTAAAATGCTATTATTTCTTAGTAAACAAATTGTTATGCCTTTTTTATATCTCAGAACTAGTTACAACATTTCTTGTTAATGCAGTACCTTATGATGTTTCATTTATCATTGTAAACATTCTAGAGTAAAGCTCCAGTATAATAATTGAGAGGTGACTGTCCAGAGGAGGCTGGTCCTCGACGACTCTTAGTTATAGTATTCCACAAAAAGAAATACGAGCTTCAAACCCATATATTGATTGTAATCAACCATAGCATTGCATTCACTCTAATGCTAAACAATAGCGGCCATTAGGACTTAACCCCTAGTAGCTCGTCCGTAGCGTCGATAGCACAATGAACCGATCAAGTCGATTAACGTAGTTAGTAGGTAAAATTATAAGGAAATTGGTACAAAATTATCGGTAGATGAAATAAAGAAATAACCTAACGGGTTATTTTATGTAAGATTTCCGCATGTGAATCTTAATTATTTCAGCTACATTTCTTCTTGCATCGAGCATAACTGGAAAATATAACCTGTATCGTAACTTTAAACGGACGCAGCAAGGGAATATATTAATTGGTTACCACAATTTTGTTTATAGGAAATAGTTATTAATGAATCTTTTTACTTTACTCCCATACATGACAATCAAAAACAATTTTTTAAATACATTTCTAATTTTTTAGTAGTCAGTTTTTTTATTTAAATCCACAGTATACAAAGTTTGAATCCAAGCAAGAGAACAAACAAACCTCAAGCCGGCAAAGTTATTTATCTTCATCTTCAGTCAAAACTTAAGTTATCACCAAAGAAAACTCCTCTAGTTTCCTTAAAGTCTTGGATTATCAGGAAGTACACAGAGAATAACTCGGCAAATTGTTAATCTTAGGTTTGTGCTTCGAAGTAAACATTTCTGTAGCAATAAGTTGACAAACAGTGTTCTTCGAGGTAAAGATGGCTTTAAGAGTTAACAGTTTTATAAATAAACAAAGGAATTCATAATTCTTGGTTTTCCCATTCTATAAATTTTTATTTAAATGTAAGTTTATAAACGTTATAAGAGATATCTTATTCGCTCTGAAGATGTTCCTAATATTTATTGGCTGTACAGAGATATAACATTTGTCTCAAGATACCAGTAGGTAGAATGTCTTAAAACCCACTTATTAAATGTTCTTAGAACATCTACTCGACCCAATCAACGTACAATTACCACGTGTTTTCAATTATGATTTATTAGGTACTACATCACTTTGAAGTTTTGGAAACAATACAAAATAACTTTAAATTCAGATGTTTGATAGCTTGACATTTGTTTTAAGACGAATCACTATTAGTGTTAACCCATACCATTAGTCCATTAGTCTTGGTATTATCACCATGCCTTGTGTGGGCTATAATTATTGACTGTCAAAAATAATTAAAAACAAAATTGTAAGTTTAATAACTAATGGAAGAAAAAATACCGTTTACTAGTGCATGTGGCCACACATAAACGTATAATTCCATAAAAGTAGTTTTATTTGACAAGTAAAGCTATTTTAACATAGGTAATATATGCATGATGATTTGTTCCTACTATGACGCTAAAATAAATGTTGGTAAGACTAAAATGTTTTAATAATACCAGTCTTGAAAGTTTCAACAATTTGTATTGAATCAGATCAACAGTTTGAAAATTGGAGAAAACGAGAGAGAAGTTTTCCAATTGAATAACGTCGGCAAAAGTCGTGGAGCGCTAACTTTTAAAGTCGAGCTCGCATTGAATCATTTTATAACTAATACGTGCTGCATGCAAAATAACCTGTGTGCATACATGAAACAAATAAAAGTAAAAACATATATGGACATTAATTTTAATTTTATTGGTTTTTACTTTTGCGTTGCATAGTCAATATCAAGGCTGGGCCAGGGAAATAGGATCAGTAATATATTATTTATAAGTATTATACAGTATTATTACCGATAGAGAGGGGGATGCCAATTAGGTGCGTATATTTATGAGTTACAGCCGATTAAAATATTCGACACATAGTCTACTATCGATACATGCGTATGCTTAAAATCAAAGTAAGTATACAAACGAATTAACAGCAGCTGACATTTAGAGACTAAAAACGTGTTTTCCTCCCTAGGGTGTAAAAGATCACCTTAACGCCCTCAACGCATGTATTGTATAATGTACACTGTACATGTTTGTATTATGTATTAATGTACAACCTCAACAGCTGTTTGTACTGCAGTATGACGAAAAACATATTTGTAACAATGAATAACATA